GGAGTGATCGGCCGTTGAGGGAGTGAAGCCGATCCCCTCCAACACTTCGCGCAGCTTCATGTACCATTGCCTAGGGGCCTGCTTCAGCCCATAGAGGGCCTTCTTCAGCTTCCACACTCTGCCACTACCATCATCAAACCCCTCTGGCTGCGCCATAAAAATCTCCTCCTCAAGGATGCCGTTAAGGAATGCCGTTACGATGTCCATTTGCTTTACTACCCATCCTTTGATGGCGGCTCCCGCGAATAGGGTTCGCAGCGTCGTCGGCTTCACCACAGGGGCAAACAACTCCTTGAAGTCCACCTTCTCCTTCTGCTGGTACCCCTTGGCTACAAGCCTAGACTTGTAGCGCTCGATCTTGCCGTCGGCATCCGACTTGATTTTGAAGAGCCACTTGGACGTTATCGCCGTACGCCCCTCCGGTAGCTCCACCAATTCAAACGTGTCATTCTCCTCGATGCTCTTCAGCTCACTCTCCATGGCCTTCTTCCACTCCTCAGCATCACTACTCTCCAAAGCCTCCTTGAGAGTTGCTGGTTCTCCCGGCATCTCCACCGGAGAGAAGAACGCGAAGGCACACTCCTCGTAGTCACTCTCCTCGTCGTCTCCGACCATCATTGCCGCTCCGGCCAGGGCTGTCTTGCCCTGCTTTCCCGGCGCATCATAGGTCAGCCTATTAGGGGGTCGAACTCTCCTCTTCCCCCTTCCTTCCTCCTCAGCTGCAGGGACTTGAAGGCCTTGGCGTTGCTGCGGTGTGGCTCGAATCCGTGGAGCACTCGTAGTACGGGAAGGGAGTGACGGTGCGCGCTCGCTCACTTGCTGCACCTCCTCCTCTTCTTCCTCTGCATCATTGGCCTCCTCTCCCCCATTCACAAGGGAGGATTGCCTTGTGGTTGTGCTGCCGCTGCTCAGCTCCAAAGGCAGCTCCACATGCTCCAAACCGGAACTCTTCACCTCCCCAAACCGCACGCCTATCTTCGCCTCATTCTCCGCCTTCCAATCCTTGTACATGAAGTTCTCCATGAACTTGCAGTCCCTGCTCACCAAGAACTTCTTGGTGAATGGGTCCCAAAGAAGCCATCCCTTGCTGTTTTGAGCCATGCCCAAGTGCACGGCCCACACCGCCTTGGCACCAAGCTTGTTGTGCCGAAGATGCTTAGGCACGAGCGCCATGCACATGCACCCGAACACCCGAAGCATATCCACCTTTGGCTTCCTTCCTAGCCACTCCACATAGGGCACCCATTTGTCTGCTCCCACATGAGTCAAGGCTCTGTTCTTGGCCACACACGCGCTCCGCACCGCATCAGGCCAGAAATAGTCGGGTAGCCCGGCTTCAATGAGCAACCCGCGTGCCGCCTCCGTGATTGTGCGGTTCGCTCGCTCGGCGATGCCGTTCATTGCAGGGGAGTATGGCATGGTGAGGGAGTGCCGAATACCATTCTTCTTCAGCCACAACCCAAACTCCTTGCTCAGGAACTCTCCCCCTCGATCGGTGCGGATTGACTTGACTAGACGGTCTTGTTGCCGCTCCACCATCGGGAACCAATCCGTCTTCAACGTTTCAGTCACGTCGCTCTTCTTGGCCAGCACGTACACCCAAGTCATGCGGGTGTAGACGTCGACAATGGTGAGAAAATACTCAGCTCCAGCAGCTCCAAGCTTCAGGGGGCCCACCACGTCCATCACCACCTCATCAAGCGGTGCCTTTGCCGTTGCCTCCGAACTAGGGAACGGAAACCGGGTGAACTTGGCTTGAATGCACGTCGGGCAGCCAAGCACCTCATCGGGCTCCCCCTTCACACGTATGCCAGCAACCATCTCATTCTTCACTGCTGCAAGATGGGCAGGGCCACATGCCCCATGCGCCGATGCAAGGTGAGCCAATCACACTCCCCCGTAGCCGAAGTTGGATTGGAGAATGCCGCGCTCGCAATAGCGCCCCACATACTCTCTCCGTAGTCCTCCTCCGCTGCTGCCTCTGGGTTCTCCTCACCCTTTTGCTGCTCCTTGGTTGCTGCACCACTCTCCTTAGGTTCACTGAACTTGCTGGTCCCTCCAGGTTTGCTCTTCTTGAGCTCATTCTCCTTAGCGCGACCGTTCGCGCCATCGTCGCTACCGACCGCTCCATCCTTGGTGCTGATGCTTGCTGCCACTTGCCTCTCCTTAGGCATAGGGACCACTGGGATCTGCCACATCTCGTTGTAGACATCCCTGTCCTCATGAAGGTCCCAAAGAATTCGATCGCCAAGCCTTGCGGTGTAGGTCTTGGCTCCCTTCGAGTTCGTGTCCATGCCGGCCTTTGCCAACCGCCGCACGGAAATCAGGTTTGCAGCAAGGCTGGGCACCCAAAGCACGTTCTTGAGGCCCACCATCTTCCCATCAGCACCCTTGAACATGGCCTTGCCCATGCCTTTCACCTCTGCTCGCTGCCCCAAAGCCGATGTGACATGCTTCACCGGAGCTGGATTTGATTACTTGTAGCTAACATACAGTGTGTCTGGCATGGCAGAGAGCCCATACATGTACACATATATGATGGGGCAGAGGAAAAAGGCCCTGGGAAAGAAGGACAAGTCAGCTTAACATTATTATTTCACTACCATGCGAGTAGCCAGACAAATGCTTGCTGAGATTTTCTCTCGCTTGTCAATGTGCATGCTTAGGAAGAGTTTTTTTCCTGTTTGTGACATGTAGCCAAACTCTAGTTCTTGTTAGTGGTTTTACCAGGCAAAAAGTACAATCTTCATATGAGGTTCTCTTGATACGAGGATAGGAATACGCTCTTAGTGGTTTACTTTAGCCTTTTTAGTTTACCGTATTCAACTTCCCTTTCCTTATTATTGAGATTGTATGCGTACAACCCGAATTGTAGTTCTGCAGATACTCCAGCCATTGAGGCAACCTCATTGCACCCAGGTTCCCACCTAGCTATGTTTCTTGCTTTTTTTGTCTAGTCATCCTTCATTGTTTAGTCAGTTGATTTAGTCACATATTCTCTATTCACTCAATCCGTGCTAGTTCATTCATAGTTAGATTCCTCGTTACTACGGTACCTTACTCAGCACCACACAAGAATCCTTGTTCCAAACCAACCTGTTCTTATCGGGTTCGATTCCACTATGTCAGTTGTCCTTGCCGCACCAATCACAGGGAGCATTTTCGCGGTGCAGCATTTTTTCCAAGCCGCCAAATGAGTGAGAAAAAGGGTGTGTGGATTTTTGTCAGTATCGCAAGTTCTGTACGCATTCTAGACTGTACCATGTCAACGGCAGCAACCCTCTGTAGTTTGCCGTCGACTGCCCCAATGTGGAGCAGTACACCCAGGTCTTCGTCTAGCCACTTCACCTCAACTATAGGCGTGGTTCATCGAGATTGCAACGACTATTCCCTTACGATAATACCTGCGAAACACTCATAATTATGTATTTAAGATCGTAAAAAGGTTAAGGGCAGGTGTCGATATCGTGTCGTCGAGTCGAATGTTTCGATCGAGTGGATAGTGTCGGTGGATTCGTCTCGTGTGCCTGGCCACCTGCCAACCTTCCACCGCCGTCTTTTTCGCTACTTGCATTGCTTGTGGCACTGGTTAAGTCAATCAGAAATGTCTCGTATTTTCACGAGAGAGGTTCCGTTTGCTGCAAGAAACCGCAAATATATTTGTAGCAATAGTATCTCTCTTATAGATCGGTGAACTTTGTTCAATTACGCATGTCAGCAACTTAATATTGTGCTATTGGAGTGAGATAGAGACGAGACTCTGCCACAGCTGTGCCCGGAATACTGACCAGCTACCACAGATGGAGTCTAGCCAGTCCGAAGCAGCAGTTCCGCTCCACGTGTCGGGTTTACAGATGAAGGCGATATTTTTCGTAGTAACGGTCCCCCATCATAGTGTTTGTACAGAATCGTCTTGGTGCTTAAAGTCGTGAGATTGCAAAAGTTCTTGCGTTCCCTTTGTTGCTGTATAACTATGCACCTTTCCAACTTGTGCATTCAGAAGTTTCCAGATGCCTGGTAGTTTCTACGGGTAGTCTAAATTCCCTCCCATTTTTTTTTTCAACGGACCCCTCTCCGGCTCGGCCTTGAAGGCGGCTCGGGCAAGTGCTTGGTGAAGGTGGTTTGCAAGCCCGGCTGTTGCTTGCTCACTCAATCTCTGGCATCGCCTTTTGCACACTGTCACTTTTGCGACGTTCCGTTTCGACTGGATGGACACTGTTACCGCCTGGCTAGGTGCTCCTCGTCGCTCCCCCCCCAGACTCCAGATTCCCCAAGTCTTCTTCCCAAACATTTCCTCTACATAATAGCATTCCTCCTTCCTCTGCTACATAACTCGCCTCGTCACCCCCATTTTTTCGAACAAGATCACTGCACGGTTCAACCTTGAGTTGAGTTTCTAGGACCGAGTTTCCTAAACCTTGAGTTTCAGGAACACCATCGAAGTATGAGGACGACACGTATCACTACGATGGCGACGACTACCAGAGCCATCTTGTCTCTCGCTCTTTGCAGCGTGATTCTTCTCTGCTCCGCTGGAGTCGCGCCCGCATCCCGAGTGGAATCTCGAAGGCTCCAGGAGTGCGCGGACCCTAAGGGCTTGTGTCCGGTCATCTCCACTACTGCTTCAACGAGTCGCCAGGTCCCGAATCTTCAGCAATGCGTCGATCAGTCCATCTATTGCAACGGCAGCTGCTGTCAGGTATTTTTTTACTGTCCATGAAAGCCATCGTTTGTGGGCACTGTCTTTAGTGATTTTTGAAGATAGGATGCTCCCATTGTTTCTGTTTTTTGCAGATACACATTGATGACGATTTTAGTGCCAGGCGGGGGTCGAACCCTTGCCTGTACATGTTGTCCCCTTTATTGTGCTTTTAGGCCGCAACCCTATAAGAAAGTTCCGACAAGTTACATTCTAGTCGTCGAAAACCTATACTTTTCCGTAATTCTTATTCCAAGTACTTCATTACTCAACATCTCCTTCCAAATTCTCGCCTTTGTTTTCAGGTTGGGCCCAAGTGCTGCGGCGGGAGGTGTTGCCTAGGAGGCGAGGAGTTCGGCGTGTCGTGCTGCACACCCTTCAAACTCAACCCCGCCATCTTCGGCGAATGCTGCCGCAACCAGGAGGGCCGCTGCTGCGGCGGAAAGTGCTGCGCGCACGCCAACAAGTGCTGCGGGACAACCAAGTTAAACGCGCAGTGCTGCAAGGGCGAGTGCTGCGGCGCCAACTGCTGCCCGGAAGGCACGGGCTGCTGCGACGGCAAGGCGTGCTGCGCGCGCGGGCAGCGTTGCTGCAAGGGCAAGTGCTGCGAGCAGGGCGCGGAGTGCTGCGGCGGCCAGTGCTGCCCCGTCGGCGCCGCGTGCTGCGGCGGCAAGTGCTGCAAGCCCGGCTTCTCCTGCTGCAACGGCCAGTGCTGCGAGACTAAGCTCCAGCCGCAGTGCTGCACGCAGGTGGTTACCACCGGCACCGCGCTCCTCAACGCGCTGCTCCCCGCAGCGGCGAAGCCCGGGAAACCCGGGCCGTCGGAGATCATCGGCGCGCTGGGCACGTGCTGCCCGGGAGTGACGGCGGACGGCACGTCGACGGGGCTCCGGTGCTGCGGCACGGCATGCTGCAAGGGGGGCTCCGTGTGCTGCCAGGACCCGCGCGGAAACCCGCTCAACCGCTGCTGCCCCGAGGGCGCGTCGTGCTGCGACGACGGCAAGACGTGCTGCGAGAAGGGCACCAAGTGCTGCGGCAACGGCAAGTGCTGCAAGGAAGGCACGATGTGCTGCGGCAAGGAGTGCTGCCCGGCCGGCACGCAGTGCTGCGGCGACGGCAAGTGCTGCCCGATGATGCAGACGTCCACGGGCATGCAGTCCACGTGTTGCGGCAGCACGTGCTGCGACCCGAAGGTGCGCGCACAGTGCTGCGTGGGGTACGACCGCAAGCCGGGGGAGTGCTGCGCGGGGCTGGACGCAAACGGCGGAGAGACGGGCAACCAGTGCTGCGGGAAGCGGTGCTGCGGAAAGGGCTTTCAATGCTGCAAGGACGCGAACGGCATCCCGCTGGACCAGTGCTGCCCCGAGGGCACCCAGTGCTGCGGGTCCACCTGCTGCAAGCCCGGGTACGAGTGCTGCGGTGACGGGCAGTGCTGCCCTATTCAGAAGGCCGCTTGCTGGAACAACACGTGCTGTGACGTGACGCTGAAGCCGCTGCGGTGCGCCATTAAGGGCACGGATGATCAAGGGCAGACGGTGGAGCTGCAGGGGGCTTGCTGCCCTGCTGCGACTTCCACTGGCGCGGCGACGGGCAACCAGTGCTGCGGGCGCAAGTGCTGCCTCAAGAGCGACACGTGCTGCACAGACAGGGAGGGCACCCCCACGGAGACCTGCTGCCCCGAGGGCAGCCAGTGCTGCCAGGACGGCAAGACGTGCTGCAAGAAGGGCACCGTGTGCTGCGGCGACGGCAAGTGCTGCCCGGCTGAGACGTTCTGCTGCAAGCCCACCATCGACGTGGCTGGCAACGCCAAGGAGTTTGCCATCGCCATGCTGGGTCGGTCCGTGGGCATGCTGGCGAGGAAGCCCAAGCAGGATGTGGCGGGCGTGCAGTGCTGCAAGGTGGGCGACAGCTGCTGCGCTGAGGGCACGTGCTGCCCCAAGGGGACCCAGTGCTGCGGTGGAGGCAAGTGCTGCCCGCTGGACGGCGACTGCTGCGGTGCCACGTGCTGCAAGCCGGGGTTCCAGTGCTGCGGGCCCAACAAGTGCTGCGAGAGGAAGCTCAAGCCACAGTGCTGCGGTAATTCCTCCCTCTCCACCACGGGGACGCCGCCGGCTATTGACTGCTGCCCCATGCTGAACGTTGATGGGAAAGAGACGGGCAATGAGTGCTGCGGGTCGGCGTGCTGCATGGGCGGCACCAGGTGCTGCGGCGGGCGGACCTGCTGCGACCTCGCGTCCAAGTCTCTCTGCTGCAGCATCCAGGGGACGACCCTGGGCGGCACGTGCTGTCCGCAAGTGAACCCCACGACGGGTGTCCCCACGGGGCTGACGTGCTGCGGCGCGCAGTGCTGCAAGGCAGGGCAGGAGTGCTGCGGGAACAAGTGCTGCCCGCCGGATACCAAGTGCTGCGGCGACCAGTGCTGCCCCAAGGAGCGCAACCACTGCTGCGGCTCCACCTGCTGCAACCCCCTCACCAAGCCCAAGTGCTGCGGTGCTGCGTCGGCGGATGGGACTGTGGGCGCCATGGAGTGCTGCCCGAGTGTGGACCTGCTGGGGCGGGAGCTGGGCACAATCTGCTGCGGCAAGCAGTGCTGCATGCCCCCGGGCAATGGCGTCCCGGCACAGTGCTGCAAGAGCGATGCTGGCGAGGAGATCTGCTGTGATGCTACCACGGGGCAGTAGGAGCGAGATTGGGGCGCAGAGAATGGTGGAGGAGTGAGTGTTTTTGAGGATGTTTGAGCAGGGAAGAGTTGCTTGCAAGAGCAGTGGCGATGTGAAGTGCATAGGCTGCTGCTGCTGCTGACTTGTTTTTTCTCTGCTTTTTTGTCGTGGAAGTTTGTAGCCAGCGTCTGTTTCATGCCAGTGCTCTATTCTAGGTGTGCATGCTTTTGCCCTTACCTTACGGTATTCCCTTAGCTAGTGCGTACAGGCGTGTTGCTTTTGTGCTTACTTCTGTACCCCCCACTAGTCCCCACTAGGGGAATCTGTTCGGGTTCAGGGTGTTAATAAAAAACTGGATTTTTGCTACCGTATGGCCCTGGATATAAGCGCAGGCCTATAATAAGCGCATGCGCTTGTATCTGGAGCAATGCGCTTATGGCCGATCCTCATTTATAAGCGCATGTATAACTTTATTTTTAAATCCTGATACACATGTCACCAAATTTCGTAGTATGTGACTACCAAATTGACTCAGCAAGCTTTCGGTATTGCTGCCACGTGCTGAGTCACATACTACCAAATTTGACTCTGCAAGTATTCGGGATGACGTGGCGTTCCGAACAATGGTTGCCGAAGTGGCAACTTCGCAACATCGACACTCTTAATGAGAAACTCTTTTCAAGATGCGTGAAAATATTTCTAAGTAGTTTAAAAAGGTTTCCATTTATAAGACTTATAAGATACCCAAAACCTCCCCAAATACAAGATAACCCAAGCATTTTTTTTAGTGTATGAGATAAGACATATATGTCTTATATCCGGGCGATGACGGTACGTTATCAGAAATTTCTTGTCTGTTTGTCTGGATTTCAGACACGTTATGGTTCATCTGATGGCCTAGACATGTCGTTTAAACTCATCTGATTTTTAAGACAAAGTTTTTGTATTTATCTGAATTCTTAGACATCCTTATACAGTTCGTCTGAGACTGCAGATATCGAGTCTTTTCCCGTCTGAAGGCAAGACTTTCGGAATTTTGTGCTTGCCTGGCACAGTCTGGCAACAGGATTCGAACCCAGGTCCCAGTCTTCACAAGTCTCCCATACTATTGACTGAACCATCGAAGGCTGTATATCTGTACTCCTTTACGTTACTCATCTTTGTTTTAGGAATACATTGTTTGCTAGCTATGTACCTCTATCTGAAATCTCAGACAAGAACTTAGCATTCGTCTGAAAAGCTAGACAATGTTACAGTTTTAGTCTGACAATCAGACAAGGAGACAGGACCCGGTCTTAAAGCCAGACGGGTCATTTTACTAAAGTTAGCCCTGCCTCGAGACCGCCATGGCTGATCCCGAAGACTTCACACGTGTCAATGTCCCTCAATTTCTTGTCAGTTGTTGATTCGGAACCTAGATTCGTACTCCTTAAGACTATAGGATCCCAATGGTACACTTTTTATGTTCATTACGCGAACATTGACCAATCGGTCTTATTGTCAGGCAACATAAGGGTTCACTTTAACAATGAAGCTACGAGGGTGCGTGTGTCAGAATGTGATATTTGTCTAGCCTACAATGGGGTACTCTACAGCGAGTATAGCCCAAATTAGGGTTTCCTAAATGTACTCAACTGCCTGCTAGTGCAAACCCTCTTTCTTGTTCTAAACTTCTGCTTGCTATCTTTGACATGCTATCAGAGCGAGATCGCTCCTGGCCTGTGGGCCCACCTGCTTCCGCTGCTGTCCTACCTGTCGCGTGCCTCGGGCGCGCGACGTCTTCTGCCTGCCGCGCGCCCTGCGCGCGTGGCGTGTTTTCTCCCTGCCACGCGCTCGGGGCGTGAGGCGGTTTCCTGCCCGCCGCGCGCCCCGGGCGCGCGCGGCGGTTTCGTCGCCCGACGCGGCGCCCCGGGGGCCCGCGCGCTGTCCCCTCCCGTCGCCCGACGCGGCGCCCCGGGGGCCCGAGCGCTGTCCCCTCCCGTCGTCCGCCGCGGCGTCACGGGGGCCCGCGCGCCGTCCCCCCTTCCGTCGCCCGTCGAAGCGCCCCGGGGGCCCGCGCGCCGTTCTGCCCGTCGCCTGCCGCGGCGCTCTGAGGCCCCGCGCGTCGCCGCCCCCCCTCCCGTTGCCCGTCGAAGCGCCCCGGGGCCCGCGCGCCGCCCTGCCCGTCGCCCGTCGCAGCGCCCCATGGACCCGCGCGCCGCCTCAGCTGCTACCCGCGTATCTGCCCCCCGTCGCACACGCGCCGCCTGCGTTTGGGGTATGGGGTGGCGGGTATGGGGGTGGCGGGTGTGTGAGCCGTCCCCTGCTCCTCCTCCTCCTCCGTCTCCCACTGCTACAGCTGCCGCTGAGGGGGGTGGGTGTGTGGGAGCCGAGGGAGTGGCGCTAGGGGGGTGTCGTGAGAGTGGAGCTAGGGGTGCAGCAGGGGGTGTGTGAAAGGGGGTCTGCGACAGTGGGGGAGGTTGAGCGGAGGCAGCCGTCGTGTCGTCAGCAGCGCCAGTATTCCGAGGCTCTGCTCCGGTAGCCCAGCGAGCCTGCTGCGCCAGTCGCCCGTGGGTCCGTTGCTCCTGCCGCTCGTCTTAGCCGCGGAGCCAGTTACTCCAGTAGTCCGGGGCGCTGCTCCGGTAGCCGCTCCATGTGCGCGGCTCCTGTTGCCCGTGTGTCCGCGGCTTCACCCGTCGCCTCCTATCTCCACTCCTCTCACAGTCGCTCCTCCTCCTCACTTGCCTCTAGCTTTGCTTGTACTTGTGAACCTGCTCTATGACTGCTTGCTGTGCTGATTATACCCCACTTTGACTATGGGGGTGTGTCAGAATGTGATATTTGTCTAGCCTGCAGTGGGGTACTCTATAGCGAGTATGGCCCAAATTAGGGTTTCCTATATGTACTCAACTGCCTGCTAGTGCAAACCCTCTTTCCTGTTCTAAACTTCTGCTTGCTATCTTTGACAGCGTGAAAGTACTAGGGAGCCTGAACTGGTCATTCTTAAGGTTCATGTGCTCGTGGCGCATTTCAGGGAATCCTGCAGCTATTTATACAGGCATTGGTGGAGGGAGAAACACAAGATCGGGGAGGAGCTTCCAGTGCTCAGCTTTTACACGCGGTGGTTTTCCACAGCTTCTACCCGCTTCTACAACTATCATCATCACACCATGGCTGCGGCTGCTGCTCTTCACGGGAAGAAGCCTGCTGATGCGTGTCCTGAGCCGGTTATGCCGAAGACGTTGTTCAACGGTGTGGCGACTCTTTGTGGCGAAGAAGAGATTAAGGTGTTGACGGCTCACACCTCGGCACTACGCATCAACGACCAGCCAGCAGGGTGCAGGAGGACGTCGGTTACCTCAGTGACGATCCTGACGAGTGCCTGAATGAGATCGCGGAGCAAGCTGGGGTAGCCATTACGCTGCTTGTTCCCTTTGCCTGGAGCAAGGCGATTCTGTCAAACTCATATGCTATAGTCTGTGTAGGCTGTAGTGGGGTAGACAATATGGGGTACAACACTTATAGGTTTTCCTACTTGTACCCACCTGCTTGCTAGTTCATTCATTCCTCATTTCTTCACATGGTATAGAGCAGGTTCCCTAGTGGGAACGCTTCCTAGGGCCCACCTCTGAAAATCGTTTTTTTTTTTTCTGACCGGAGCGCGAGTCGCCCCTGCCCGAGGCGCGCCTCGTGGGCCGCCCTCTCATCGCGTCCCCTGCCCTTAGCGGCCTGTCGCGCCCTTCTAGAGGCCCCTCTCACGGCCCCTCGCGCCACCCCTAGCGGCCCCGTCGCCGCCCTTCGCGGCCCGTCGCCGCCCCTCGCGGCCCCGTCGCCACCCCTAGCGGCCCCGTCGCCACCCTTCGCGGCCCCGTCGCCGCCCCTAGCGACCCCGTCGCCGCTCCTCGCGGCTCCGTCTCCGCCCCTCGCGGCCCCGTCGCCGCCCGTTACGGCCCCGTCGCCGCCCTTTGCGGCCCCGTCGCCGCCCCTAGCGGCCCCGTCGCCGCCCTTCGCGGCCCCGTCGCCGCCCTTCGCGGCCCCGTCGCCGTCCCTAGCGGCCCCGTCGCCGCCCTTCTTGGCCCCTCGCGGCCCCTTCGCGGCCCCGTCGCCGCTCCTAGTGGCCCCGTAGCCGCCCCTAGCGGCCCCGTCGCCGCCACTCGAGGCCCCTCGGGGCCCCTTCTCGGCTCCTCCGCCACCAGCAGCAGCCGCCGCCAGCAGCAGCCGCCGCCGGCCGCCAGCAGCAGCCGACAGCAGCAGACGCCGCCGACAGCAGCGGCGGCCACCACCAGCAGCAGCCGTTGCCGCCGACAGCCGCGACTGCCGCCACCACTGCCAGCAGGAGCTGCCGCCGCGGTCGCGGCTCTGTCCCTGCCGACGCGCCTCGGCCCTGCCCCACCACTTGCCGGCCCCTACCAACCAGCCCTGGTGAGAGCACTGCCGAGCCACGCCTGCTACTGCTGCCCCTAGCCTGTTGCCACTGCTGTCATGGCTACCCCTAGCGTTCTAGTCTTTGATGCTGAGGGTCGGGCTATTGACTTTGAGGTCTGGGTCGATGATCTACAGCTTTTCCTACAGTGCGATAGGAAGGACGGTCTCTCACTGTTCGATCTCACGTCTGGCGCCTCTACTGCCCCTGCTGCCGATGCTGACAGCACTGTTCGCTCACAGTGGGCCACACGCGATGCTGCTGCCCGTCTTGCTGTGCGTAGTCACTTACCGTCCACTGAGCGCGCGCACTTTAGTCAGTACAAGAGTGCTAAGACCTTGTACGATGCTGTAGTTGCACGCTACTCTTCCCCTGCCACTGCTGCCCTTAGCCGCCTCATGCTGCCGTACCTGTTTCCTGACCTCGCCGCCTTTCCCACAATCGCTGACCTCATTACGCACCTTCGCACTAGTGACACCCGCTACCGCGCTGCACTTCCTGCTGAGTTCTGCGCCAAGACCCCCCCCCCCCCCA